TTTCTCACCCGTCTATTGACAGTATTTGCTTTTCCGAAGGCACAGAGGGCAGTGAATGCAGCTTCACAGTAGACTGACCTGAAAGAAAGTGAAGCAAAGAGTATGTGTTTGTTTACATGCAACCATGAAATAAAAAAAGCTGGTTGTGGTATAAACACAAGTCAAATCACAAGTTTTAGCTCCTTGGAAAAGTTTTCTTTTTTTTTGGGCCTTTTATTGCCTTTATTATAGTGACAGCTGAAGATGGACAGGAAAGGGGATGACACACAGCAAAGGGCCACAGGTCGGATTCAAACCCTGGGTCGCTGCAGCAAGGACTCAGCCTTGGTACACGAGGCGCCAGCTCTACCATGTGAGCTATCCGGGCGCCCCATCGGTGGGTCTTTTACACGTTTTGGTGTGAAGCTGAGCTGGTGTCTGTCTGCTGTTTATGAGCTTATAAAAAGGTTGTTTTGTCTTTTAAAAACAGCTGCTTCTGCGTCCAAAAGCAGCACTGTAAGAGCAGTGAGAGTGAACTCAAACAGTAAAAGTTGCTGTGAAATCAAAATAATGCTCTAAAGGATGTTAAAACACGCAGCCGGGTTGAGGTTGAATATTGATTATAGCTGCTTTAACAACACTATGATCCTTTAAAATGAACACTCAGTTGAACAATCAGTAGTCTGAATAAAACCTGAACAAAAGTGGTATCAACTGCATTATGTTGTGTTTCTGTTATTTTGTACACACACACACACACACACACACAAAGCACCACCTCCACCGCTCTGTGGCTGTAGCTGAATTCCTTTGCCTATCTCACGAGGGTATTTATAGGCGCTGACCATGACAACATATATGTGTGTGTGTGTGTGTGTGTTTGACAGCTAAGGAGTGGAAAGAGAAGGACTGACACCCCCTGTAGTTTAGTAATATCTCAACCGCAACTGCTTCAAATTGTTTCCGCTCAGCAGTTAAATATAAATATTAGTATAAGTTACTAATTAATATGAGGATGATGTCATTAGAGATGTTATTTGATATGCAGGTTTCAAGTTATTTTATTTAAGTAGCAAAATGTAAAAAGTTAAAGTCGTATGAGGATGAAGCAAAAGAATAATTAGCTAAATGTATTTTAAGTTAAAGTCTTTTATATATCTTATTTAAGTTAATTAGTGAATCATTAACACACAAAAGTGCAGTAAAAAGTATCATTTTTCCCTCTCTTTTGATTGAGTTTTCACTTCAATAAACTTTAAAGAAAGCTTAGAGGAAATAAAAGTAAGCAGGTTGAGAGCTGAAGATACAAATGTGCTTTAGTTCCTTTACGCTCAACCTTTAAATATGCAGTCTATGGCCTCAACAAGCTGTAATGCAATAAAATAAAAAAAGTATTTTACCTCTTTCTCCCTCCTGGTTCCTGCTCTTCTCTTCCTTTTTTGCTCTCTAAGCTTCTCTCGTGTTTCTCTTCTTATTCTTCTTTCTGTTTTCTTTGTTGTCGTTCTCTAACAGGTTCCTCTTAGCTTCGTCCCCTTCGTCCTGCGTCAGTCTGCCAGAGTGCCTCTGTGTGTGTCTGTGTGTGTGTGAGAGAGTGTGTTTGAGCTCACATCACCAGGTCCTCTTCTTCCCACCTCCAACATCCAACCTCCGTTTCCAAATACAGACACCCCTCCCCTCCAAAAATATCCCAGAGGTCAGCTCTGCTCTCACCCGACCCCGCCTCGTTCCCCTCGTGGCCTCGGGTTTTAGATTTGGTGGCAGTCTTGTGTATGTGCTGTCTTTCCCACTGGTGGAAGATCCTTTATTTTAGTAAAAAAGTGCTAATATCACACTGTAAACAAGTCTTGCATTCAAAGACCTTACTTAAGTATTTACTTCTGCAGTAAAATGCTCCCTGTCAGTGTTTTACTGGTCTGTAGGAGTTTTAGATTAATATTACTGCTGTAGATGTTTAAGGTTGAGCTAATTTTAACTACTTTATATACTGTTGGGTAGTTTAATCTACAGCAAGATAGATAGATAGATAGATTCTTTATTGTCCTATTCAGGAAATTTGTTGCCACAGTCTGTACATACACGTCTAGACACAACATTACCACATTTAGACATTTAAACACAGCACGAACATCTGAACACAACACAGCAATGCATCATATTCTATAAGATCATCATATGTTTGAGCTCAAAAAAAGCAGTTTTTTAGCTTTGTGAGGAGGTAATTTCCAATCTTCCAAGGGACAGTTTCTTTAGTTTGAGAAGTGGGGTGAGAATTTCCTCAGTCCATAAAGGAACATTTAAAGGTCCAGTGTGTAACATTTTGAGGATCTAACATTAGAAATGGAAGATAATGTTCATAGCTATGTTTTTGTTAGCGTATAATCACATGAATATAGGAATTGTTGTGTTTTTGTAGAATGAATCTACAGATTCCAGCATCTTTCAAATTATTCCACAAATGTTTTCAAATTGAAATTGAATGAAAACTGGTGCAGTCTACGTGTTGCCTTCAGTGTATTTAGTCCACTTAAAAGAGAGAAAACGGAGGTAAACGCGACAAACTGTGTGCGTATGTTGATAAGCAAGCAGCGGTTTCCTGATTGTCAGGAAGCAACAAGTCATTTCCAGTGAGTGAGTGATTCGCTGTGCTCTTTCTTGTCCTTCAAACAACCTAAATAACCTTCTCTTCTCATAGTCTTAGTTACATGTATCTCAATTTATTAAACATATATCATATATATTTGTAAATGATCCATTTTTACATATGTTTAAAGATATATTTACATTATTTTTTATTAAATGAGAGAAAATTAATGGCCAACAATTTTGAGCATGCGTTAACCCTTTAAGTCAGTGGTTCCCAACCTGGAAAATGTTATATTTATACACAGTCGTACTACATCTCAGCATTTGGTTCACTTCTGGCCAAGCATCAAGGACAGGAAAACACTGAATTTATCAAAAAATAAGCCTATTAAATCTGTATAATTGTTAAAAGTGATTAAAAATGCATAACACAGAGAAGTAATCGAATAAAAAGTTCCCTAAACAGGAAATAATCTGCTTAAAATTCATCCAAATCACTTGTTTTACACAAACTTCCTGCAGTTAATAAGTTCACTATTTGGGTTAATTGTACTGTTTTGAATATAATATGAAATATCCATAAAATATGTCACCTAACGAGTTTAATAAATGATAGAAAAGAGGTCCATTATAGAAAAAGACAAACATTTTGTTAACCTGAATGTTATGACTTGAATTCACTGTGTTTTCTAGATCCACAAACAAATCAGATTAAAATAAATAAATAAAAACACACAAAAAAAATCCCAGTCAAGTAAATATTTTGATTATTTGATGTTTTGTTAACATTTACAGACAGAAACCCTACAAGGATGTAGACGCTAAAGTATATTACAATAAAACAATAAATAATAAAATATCTAAATACATAAGTTAAGCCATTTCCAGCACCAGCTCTATAGTTATACTGTAGTTATGTTAAATAAAGCCTCTGTTACCGGGTTACACAGTAAATAATACCACAAGCTAATTCAGCGTTTTCACTGACGTCAAAGTGACAGGTGTTCCCTGCGTGCGCCGTCAGCTGTGCTGTGACGTAGTTCCGCCCTTTCGTGAATATTCATGAAGATAAAAAAAAAAACTTTTATATGATTTTAATAATAAATGTACCTTCTTTGGTGTTATTTAAAAAGAAAAAAAAAATGTAACAGCATTTTATTATTATTTTTAAACGACTTTAAATCGCCTCAGCCTCGCTTTGGTTTCCCCGAACGAGCGGAACCTTTCCCGCCCCCTGCCGCCATCACCGCTTCAGTCAGGATGAAGTAGCTTCCGGGCGACAGGGTACCAGCAGTAAACATGGCGGAGGAACTGCTGGAAACAGTGGATAGACTTCAGGCTCGGCTCCGGGAGAATCCGGAGCCTCGAAAGGTAACGACGGAACCGGTCGCGGTAGACATAGTTAGTGTCGAGCACCGGCTGTCAGTTGAAGAGCTACGGTTGGTCGCCGGTGCCCGAAACGGAGCCGCAGCAACGGCAGTTCCCCGAAAGTCGCAACCGTTTTTTAATGCTGCGTTCGAGGGCCGCTGTCGGGCTCCGTCTTCTCACAACCGTTCACGTAAAAGAGGCATTCAGGAGCCCTTTTTTGGGGGTTTTTATTTATTATTTTTTTAAAATGTAAATTGTAGTTGTGACCATGAGTTATTTGTTTAACTGTAGGTTGTTTTTAATGTACATATCGTGTGGTTTAAGTGGTAGAAAGGAACATTTAAAACGGTGACAACTGTAGGATTAATGACATTAAATCAGGATATCCAACCAGTGACCTATTTTAATGTGGGTGAAATAAAACCAATGTTTTCCTTTTTAAAACATCTACAATAAGTCTAAAACAATGCATTACAACTGTGGTGTTATAGGTATGTCTTAGCAGAAAAACATAAACACATAAAATAGTCAAATCAAAATAGATAAATTGCTGTTCTTTTAAATTCAAAAATCAAATGGATTTCAGCTTAAAAACAGTTTAAAATTAAAATCAGGGACATTAAGGGACTTGTTTTGTGATATTTGACAGATATTGATATATTTTCCAGTTTGTCCTTCATTACCAATCCATACATTAGTTATATATAATATATATATAATAAATATATATATATATATATGTGGTTGGAGTTCACTACGTATTTAATTTCCTTTAATATTTATTTGCTTCCAGTATATTTTGGGAGTGCCAAAATAAATAAAAGATGTTCAACACTTCAGACTTAAACCTAAAGTTAATTCACCTGATAAATGTGTTTCGTAGCCTGTAAAATAACAACAACAAACAACAACAAACAACAAATCTCAGTACTTTCCATGTCGGGACGAACACTTGAACGCCGAACTGATTTTCGGATGTGAACATTTCCGACCGCCCGTGAACGCGTCCCGTGCAACGTCACGTTAATTAAGGGGTTTTAACTCGTTATAACGTTACTTCTGTTCAAACACCTGTCCGCCTCACACACACACACACCTGTCCGCTTCACACACACACACACACACAAACTACCACTTATTAAAACAGCAACAACATTAAACCGCAACTTTTATTCACCGTGTAAACGAAGCGTTGAGAGTTAGCCGCCGTTAGCTCCGCTGCTAATCACCGCAAAGACGGTAACACCGACTCCGGGCCTGTAATGTGCCACGGAATCGGGTAATTTCACTTCGTACCGCGGTTGTACGTCGCTGCACCGAGGCTGCGTGCTCAAAAACGCTGCAGATTAAAAGCGAAATACGTGACGATTCCCGCTGCCCGTCCTCCCCTTTGTTTACTTTCTCTGCTGAAATAAAACAAAGCCTGATGTCACGTTATGTGTGCGGAAACAAGTCTTATTCTGCTTTACAGGTGTAATAATGTAGTTTATTATACAATGAGAGCTCAGTGTGTGTTGTTTCCTTTACTACAGCCCCGTTAGGACACGATGCACGACTGTTTCAATCACTGTAGTTCACTGATTTAACATTATTTTACTATATAACACTCAGTTTCTGTCGTTTAGTGAACTGACCACCAACTGCTTAGACATATTTTAGGGATATTTTCATATTATATTCAAAACTGTGAGAAGTTTGTGTAAAAACGAGTGATTTTTAATGGATTATTTCCTGTTCAGGGAACTTTATGTGCAGTTATTTGTCTGCATTATGTATTTTTTATCACCTTTAACAATCACACACACTTAATAACTTCTTTTTTTTACACATTTAGTCTATCTTGTCCCTGACACTTGATTATTGAACTATTTACATTTATTATTCCATTCAGAAGTGAACCAAAGTCTGAGATAAAGCCTCTCTGTATATTTTAAAGTGTTCGAGAAGGCCGCACAAACCCCCTTTAAAGCTTTGGCGACCCAAAGAAGGGTCCCGTCCCCCAGGTTGGGAACCACTGGTTTAGTTTAACAAAGACAACGTTACGAACTAAAACCAGGAATGAGAGCGGATACAGTTTATCCTATCTTTGTAGTTTTGATATTTAACCGACTTAAATGTCGCAAACAGAAGAAATAACACGAAATTATACACTTATAATGAAAAGTACATTTTCTGGAGAGGACGAGATGAAACATAAAGATGTAATTATTTTATTTTTTTACCACATAACTGCAGTTTCCAGCTCAAACGCACATTTATTCATAAAATCTCACACACAAAGAGATACTGAACGACACATTTGTGTTCTTTAACTGTGTATATATTGTCCAACTAGTAATAATATAGATTATTTTAGCTTCTACCAGTAATTATCTTTAGTCAGGGCTCCACTTTATAATTACACAGTCGCACTGTGTTGCTGCTGGAAGTGTGTAAACTTTACTGCCGTCCTCTCAGTTGTGTTTCTGTCTCGTGTTTGCAGCTCCTGAAGACTTTACGGAGGCTGGGGGAGCTGCCAATGACTGTGGACATACTGGTGGTAAGAACGAGTTAATTCACCGTTCACATCCTCTCCGCTTACAAAACTCGAATGTCTGCCGATAAAAAGAAGAAACGCTGCAGTAGTGAAACGCTTCAAGCTGTCGGACGGACTAGTTTATAATCGTAGTTTAACATCCGACTACTTCAGTAAAAACATCACTCTGATCCTAATACTGTAAGATCCGCACTGCAGCTCGCAGATAAACACAATACAGACGTAAAACATACGAGGATGTCGCACACTTGTACAGATTTCATTAACTTTGTCTGGTGTGGTTGAATTAAACGAGTGAATCTCGGCTTGTTGTCGCTTTGTTTTGTTCTCTCGCAGGAAACTGGAGTCGGGAAGATTGTGAATTCTTTTAGGAAACACGAAGAAGCTGGAGAGATGGCAAAAAGCCTCGTAGCCAAATGGAAGAAACTGGTTCCTCAGTCGGCGGAGAGGTGCGTTCGGCGTAACTGTGCCTCGACATGCAAACGGGAGTAAGGAGTGGAGCGGGCCATGCTTTATGTCCCTGTGTGTCTCTGTTCCTGCACTGGTTATTATATTTGGAGACGTTCAGACGACTTTTAATTTATGTTTAAGCTCAAATTTGACCCAGAAATTAAAATAAAACAACTTCACTTGTTAATTACTCTAAAAACGACTTCGGGAAATCAAAATAGGAGAGAAAATTGCGGGCTGGATTTAAAACTTCATCTCGAATATGGAGGACACCTTGTGACATCATATCTTTTTCTCCTGCTGTATTTAATATTTAATATATTTTATGTTCAAATTACAAGTTGCTCGTAACCATTAACTCAGAAAACAGGATTCTGTAAAACAATAACTTCAGATGGTGAGCGGTAATATTGATTTCTTTACCACTACGTCACATTTACGTTACTGTTGTTGAGTCAGACGGCGGCTGTGAGGCGCTCTCGTGTTTCTCACCACTGTTTCATCTTTACACCTCAGACCCCCCAACAGCCACGTCAAAGAGGCATCGCGGTCACACACACACTCTCGAGGCCCAGAAGCAGGTGTGGGAGACCGCAGACGCACCCGGGAGCCCTCCCCTGAGGAAGAGCCCTCCTACATAGAGGAGGAAGAGGAGGAGGAGGAGGAGGAGAGAGGCTATCACACGAACTACTCGCCCTCACCTCCTCTGCACGAGCAGTACAGCCCTCCGCAGCGAGGAGGCTACCAGTCGGACGAGTACGAGAGCCCCGAGCCCGAACCTGAGCTCGAGCCCGAACCTGAGCCTGAACCTGAACCTGAACCTGAACCTAGTCCTCCTCCTCCTCTTCGCAAAGAGGTCCGCCACATCAAACCAAACAAAGAACCCAACAAAAACCATCACCACGGTTCCCACAGCGACAGAAACAGGGACGAGGAGCGGCGGCAGCGCCACGCACAGACGAGCAGCGATCGGGGGAGAGGAGGAGAGGGCGGCGAGGGGAAGAAACGCAGCGCGGACAAAGAGAGACAGCAGAGTCCGGTACAGAAGTCCACAAAGCACAGCAGGAAGTCCACCACACATGAGAGTAAGAGGGAGGAGAAGAAGAAAGGAGGAGATGACGGTGAGTGTTTCGTTTTCACTGAACCTCGGTGATATCAGGGAGTCGTTTTCCTGTTTGTCCTCCCCTTCTCCTGCCAGAGTTAGTTAGATATTAGATCAGACTCTACAAATTAAATATATTTAATATTAAAACAGTACTCAGCAGACAGTTTTAAAAAGGATAAACATAAATAAACATGTCAGAATCAGAGAT